TTTCACATACAGTAACAACAAACAGATTTAAACATGCACACACACAGAAAATTAACAGTCAAAACTTATTAAAAAAAAAAAAAAAAAGCAGGAAAGGAAAGAATCAGCAATCTGGTAAACAAAACGTAACCACCAGCAAGGCACTGACTGCCAAACAACTCTATCGCAACCAGAAGTACATAAAGGGAAGAGTAGAGAAAGAAGGAAGAAAACTTCAACAGAGCAGAACAAATTCTGCAAGGTTGCATCTTGGCAACCTGTGGGGAAGCATTAGGGAGAGGCTGGGATGTCTGGTGGTGAAGCTGGACAAGAACACCCATTAAATAAACGACCCAAGCCATGAAGACAGCACAGGGCCATGCAGGCGACCACAGGAACTGAAAGCTCTGCTATGCTTCTGGAATTCAGGTGTGCAGAAGGAGTACTGTGCCCTCAGTCACAGTGCATTATTTTGCCTTCCACAACACTCCATCCGCCTACTGTTGGGAAAGCGTAAGAGAGGATAATAAGCAAGATAGTATCTCAGGTCATGTCAAGTGCTGTATCAGGACACCATGCAAAGAAGATTCATGCAATGCCTGCCTGTAGCATTAAGTAACACCCTTTTCAATGTTCTTTAGTTAGTTAGTATCAGTTTTCTCTTAGCAATTCATCCGCGGATGGCATTTTAGTAAGATCATGGAGCTTCTCAATAACAAAGTATCAGAAGTACTTTGGGGACAGAGGGGACTTACACAGGAGGGCAGAAAGGAGCAGAGACCAGTCCTGCTGTGGCTGGTTTTTGGGTCAGCACTTCAGGATGACAACAGAGAAAGGCAGTGTGTCTAAGACACCATGTCAGCAGGCCAGGGCTGGCTGTCACCATCAGGTAGGTTAGAGCTCATGCCCTGCAGGATCCCTCAGGACCAAGCACAGGGTTTTGTCTGAAAACGTGTACCCAGAAATAATGTTTGGTACAGGCTGAAGCCATTCACCAAGGCAAAGTGAGAACCAGCTCTACATCCCTGAAGAGTAAAAGGCCTTCATATAGCATGAAGCAGGCAGCTAGCTCTTGTGGCCACTCCTTACAGCTCAACACCATCCTCCACCCAACAAACAGTGGATTTTCCTCTATCCCATTGCCTTTTGTTATGTAAAAGGCTGGAAAAATGAAAGACCAAAACCAACTAAACAAAAAGCAAACTGCCTATCTCTCAAACGAAAGCCACTTTTGGTCAACTCACGAGCACACCTGGAAGCAGGCTGTTGGTGCTGGCAGAAACACCCTGAGAGGGCCCCATCCTTCCAGCATCGGGCACCAGCAGCTCCCGAGGTCGGCAGAAGCTCCCGGCTCCCTCTGGCGGGGTGAGAGCAGCAGTGGCTCCCCTGGCCCCGCTGTCTGCTAGCCGCAGCTCATCCAACTTTTACACAAACAAGTCGAGGTCATTCCTCATTAAGATGTATTTAAATGCGCTCACCAGCTGCGCACACCTTCACCTTTTTGAGTCGTTTTGGGTTTTGTGTTAAGATGCCAGTAAGTCGTGCCCGCTGCCACGGAGCCGTGCCGTGCCCACCGCCCTGTGCTGCAGAACCTCTCCCTGCCCCCAGCCGCCCCTCCCCAACGCAGCTCCATGCCGTTCCCTCAGCACGCAGCTCAGCGCTGCCCATCGGCTCCCTGTGAGGAGCTGCAGCCGCCACGAGGGCTCCGCTCAGCTCCCGTGCTCAGGGCCGAACCCACCCCGGTCCCTCAGCACTGCTCACACACACACCGTGCCCTCAGACCCCTCCCCACCTCCGCACCCCCCGAACACTCTATCGCAGCCGCTATGCAGAGATCGGCCCCACAGCCGCCCCCGCCCCACAGCCCCTCTCGGTCTCAGGCAACCTTCAGGCAGTGAGGCCGCCCCCCCTACCCGCAGGACCCCCGGCCCTACAGCCAGCTCTCTCCCGAGCCTGGCGCCCCACACAGCCCGCAGCACCACGGCCCGGCCCCGCTACTCACGCTTGTACTCAGCCATCAGCCGCTTAAGCGCCGTGCCCGCCATAGCGCGGCCCGCAGCGCCCCGGCCCCGCGCCGCTTCCGGGCGGACTGGCGGGGAGGAAGAGGGTAGGGGGCGCGCTAGCGCTCCGCCTCTATGGTGCGGGCCGAGTCCTCCCAGCGCTGGCCGCGAGCCGCGCAGGCGCAGTATCACCAATGACTTGTGGGCGGAGCCAGCGCGGCTGTGGGCGGGGCCGAGAGCCGCAGGAAGCGCGAGGCACAAAGCACGGCCCGCGGCACGGCTGCTCCGCTCAGCCCAACGCCTAATTGATGACACTTCTCGTTTCTGCATTAAAAAAGTATATTTCAGACAACTTTATCAAATCATGACAAAGCACATGTAAATCTGCAATATTCCAAACTCTGACTCTATACGAAGCGTTGCATCTGCACGTACAGACCTCGTGTCGCAGGCTGAACGTTGCCCGGTAACTGTTTGCAACACACGCTTAAATCTTCTTCCTCCTCATCGGCGTGTTATAAAACAAAACAACAAAACTTGTAAGCTTGTGATCGGCATGAAAAGATGCTGAATTATTTACAAGGTTAGGATGGAACAGAAGGGCAGGACCGACAGCCAGGAATGCACTCCATGTCCTCAAACACGGACGGATATTTAGGCCACAGGTTTAAAGGAAAAAAAGGAAACAGCAGACAGACAACGGATATTACTGAATCAGAACTTAAATCAAATGGGCCCAATTTAAGATATAGATTAATCCCTGCAGATACTGTTTTGACTTGCACACGCAGTATGTCAAAGACAACAAGCGATTTTGGTAAATGTCCTCTAAGGTTTCGAAGAATCCCGTGTGATTGGCATGTTCATTTGTTTACTATTTAATAGCAAATCCAAGGACAGATGAGAGCGAGGTGCAATGAGCCTGGAAGGCCTCTGCTCCAAAGGATGGCATGTCTTAGCACAGCCCGCCCGTCTGCTGCTGGAACACATCGATAGTGTCTTCATCTTCCATCTCCAGCTGTGAGATCGATACAGAGAACATGAATTCACAACCACAAACTTACAGAGTCACACAGGGTTTGAGATCTCTATTTCAAACCAGATTCAGAAGCTCACCCTCTAAAAGCAACCACCCCAGTCATGTGTTTCTTCTGCTCCTCACCTCAGGCCTCATCAATGCAAGAAATCCCCCAGATTCTCAGCACTGATAGAGCTGAGCAGCTACAGCACTCAGCTTCAGTCCTGGCTTTAACCAGAAGTGGGACAGAGCTGAAGAGCTCAGCACTTCCTCCAGGTCCTGCCCATAGCAGCACACAGGTGCCAGCATGTTTGGCACCACTGCTTGTGCAGATCTCCCACCCCAGCCAGGACAAAACGCATGGGGAAGAAACTGAAGAAGCATTTTATAGCCATTTGCAGTAAAATCATCTTTCATACCTGCGCAGGTGTGTCTGCTTCATTAATTGGTTGTCCGTCGAATCTGAATCTGATCTGCCTCATAGACAAACCCTGCAAATTTATAGAGTAATACACGTGAGAAACCTTAGTCCTAGTTTTGAATCCAAACAAAACATTCACCCATTCGCTATCAGAATAGATAATAACAAAATTAAGATTTCAAGAATAGAAATGAATGGGAAACTTCACGCCTCCGTTGCTGTACAAACGGAGGGAGCAGACGCTGTGCTGCTGCTGCGGCACCAAGGGCTCAGCAAGGAGCAACAGTGCCGTGCTGCACCTGGCTCTGACCCACAGCACCGTGCTGCTCTGCAGGGCGTGCACGCGTGCGTGAGGGCCAGCTGTTCCTCATCAGGAGAAACGAGAGGCTTTAAATTCACTCAGCGGCCAAAACATCTGCAGGAGCCCCAGCTCACGGTGCCTGCTCACACCTCCTGCTGGGCACCCCTCGCAGTCCCGACCTCCTGATGAAAACAAGGACCCACGCCGCGTCTGAGGCTCGGGATGGGGCCGAGCCTCGGGTGCGGGGCAGCCAAGGGCCCCACGTGCACCAGCGACGCCGGCAGCCCGTGCTTCCCGCCGGGAGCGGTGCGGGCAGGGATGCAGTGCACACACGGCAGGGATGCGGTCGGCCCGGGGCGATGCGCGCACCTGCCGCTCGCAGTAGGCCTTCATCAGCTTGCTGAGAGGCGTGTGCCGCTTGATCTTGAACTGCACGACGGAGCCGTCCTGCCCGGCCACCTTCAGGTTGATGTGGTCGTTCTCTGTCTTCACTCCTTCCTAGGAAAAGCCGGACGAGCGGAGATCAGCGCGCGGAGAGGCCCGACCCTCCCCCCGCTCCGCCTGCGACCCGCCCCGTGCCCTCCGAGCCGCGCCGAGCCGAGCTCACCTTGGGCTTCTCCTCCGACATGGCGGCAGGACGGGCCCGGACGGTGGGGTAGGGGCGGGGAGGGCCCGGCCCGCGCGCTGCCTCCCGCCTGGCTCCCGCCGCCGCCGCCGCCAACCGTCCGCGAGAGCGCGCGCTGAGCCGCGCCCCCGCCGCCCCGCGCCAGCAACGCCGCGCTCCGATTGGCCGCCCGGCCGGTCACGTGAAAGGAGGGTGGGGGGATGAGCGACCGCGCGCAGCTCGGCGATCGGCGGCTCTAGAAAGTGCGTCACGGAGCGGCGGAAGCGCCGCAAGCGAAGGGCGGGGCTCCGAGGGAGGGCGGGGCGAAGCGCGGCGGCGCGGGCCCGGTCTTACGGCGCCCCCTCGCGGGCGTAGCGCAAACATCACCCCGCGCTCAGGAGCCGCGCGCGGGGCTGCAGGGTCCGCGCTTTGTGCCAGCGCCACGCGTGCCGCCGGCCCCACTTGGCTTCGTCACACAACGGCAGTAGATGCCACCGCACAGCTCCTTTGTACCGCAAGCCCCTGGGTTCCTTGCAGGACATAAGCACGCAGCCCTCTGCCCAACACAGAAGAAACAAAGCCCTACCCCTGCCCACTGCCATGGTGGCACCCAGGCCCCGCTCCTCTCACTGAGAGCCACACTTACGGGGAAGCAGAATGAAGCGTTCACAGTGGGATAGTAATCAAATCAATTTAATACATCTTTACCATATTGCATATGCAGCAGAACCCTACCGTATTGCTATCAGTAACAGGCACTGAGCCCAGGAGATGATCAAGAAAGGCACAGAGGTAGAGGGGCAGTGGAAGGACCCTGGATTAGTTGCAAGTGAAGCGTGCATGTAGGCCTGCCCCCAGGGGCCCAAGGCAGCTGGAAACCAGCACCGTGACAGGGTGCCGGTGTGTGGGCACATGCATGCAGCTGGAGACAGCCAGGCCACCCCCTGAGTCACTTCCACACAGAGGAAGGTGAGCGCCTCACACTGCCCATACCCAGCTTTGCATGAGAAGGAAGACACGCTGGGCCACTCAGGACCTCAGCCAGGCACCGTGTTGCATTGTGCTGGGCTGCCACCCCCAGCTGGGTTAAGGAGGAGTGTGAAGCCCAGTGCTATGGCCACCAAGTTTCCAGGCACAGAATGAGGTTTCAGCCTGGCCAGGCACTGCAGCTGATGGCCGGCTGCCTCAGCACAGCCTCTGCAGCAGAAGCCCAGGGCAAGCTGAGAACTGTAGTGGGGAATGGGGGAGTCACTGAGCAGGGCTTGTGGCAGCACGTTGCACCATAGGGGTCTCCTGGAAAGTGACCCAAAGTGAGGTGGGTCTGCAAGGAGGATGCCGTTCACCAGGTGGGACAGATCCAGAGAGGCTAGTTCTCAAATTTTGCATAAGGGTTCTCCTCCTTGAACAGGCCTGGAAGAAAAGAGAGTCACTGAGACCTCCAGGAGCAGCACTCACTGCTCTGGGTGATAATTCTTTGCCAATCATCCTCTGCTCACTCTCCTGTTCTAGAAACTACAGGTACCAGTGTCCTCCTGGAAGGCTGTGCCCACACCACCCCATCTCCTATCCTTCAAGGGATACACATCAAGCACTGTGTCCAGTCCTGAGACCCTCGCTACAAGGAGGGAGTGTGTCCAGAGGTCAGCAGAACTGTGAGAGGTCTGGGGCACAAAATGTGATGGGGAGCAGCTGAGGGAACTGGGATGGGTCAGAAAAGAGGAGGCTCAGGGGAGACCTCATTGCTCTGCAATTCCCTGAGAGGAGGTGGTGGTGAAGTGGGGAATTGGCCTCCGCTCCCAGATTAACAGCAGTGGGATGAGAGGCGATGGCCTTGAGATGCACCATGGGAGCATCAGGTTGGATTTTAGGAAAACTTTATCCCCAGAAGTAGTGATGAGGTGTTGGAAAGGGATGAGCTGCACAGGGAGGTGGAGTCACCATCCCTGGAGATGTTCAAGAAAAGGACAGATGTCACACTAAGGAACACAGTCTAGAGTGGTCAGAGACATGGCTTGATGGTTGGAGTAGACGATGTCAATGCCCCTTCCAACTTTAAATGATTCTGCAATTCTAAAGCTTAGTGCTATTTGCTAGTGCGAGCCACTGTACCGTATTTTCTTCGGATTTCATCATGCCGTGACTTCATCTCTGCTCTCCTGCAAGAAACAAACAGGAAAGAAACCACAAGTCAGTGACCAGCAGAACAAAGCCAAGGAGGAGCTCCAGCTCCCTCTCAGGCTGGGAAGCTCCATGCTGGCAACTCCTCAGAGCCTTCAGGCTGCCAACCTCCCTGCAGCCCCCCTCCCACAGGGCAGGAACTTCAGGGTGGACACACAGCACCATCACAATGCTGCACCCACAGGTTCCAGCAGGGACTCTGTTTGAAGTACAGACCCTCATGCAGCACCATGCAATTGGCACAGCACTGGGTCAGCAGGCAATGTAACCTCACCTCTCCTCCTGGCGCACTCGCCTGCGCTCCCGCTCCCGAGCAGCTCGTTCATCCTCCTTGTCTGGCCTGCAGCAAAAAAGAGCCCATCAGCTCACACTGACCCACCTCCAGTAGCCCACAGCTGGGCTGTGGAGGGACTCTTTGGGAGAACTGGGAGCAGCCCACCCCGATACTTGCTTTTTGCTCTTTTTCTTACAACAGCAGCAGCAGCAAACAAGCAGCATGATGAGGATCGTTCCACCCACTACAGACATGGCAATGATCAGGGCTTCAAAATTCACTGCAAGACGCAAGAAAACACACTTAGCACAGCAATGTATGGCTGCCTGCTGACAACCACGCAGCTCCTGTCACTGGGAGCATCAGTTGCTGGACTTGAGGCACACATAACAGCCTGAGAAAGCAAGACAGACACCATCTACAGGTGTGCTCAGTGCTGGCACCAGCACGAATGCACCAAGCACGTTACTGCCAACCACAGTGCCTGCAGAAAGCAGCCACCCAAGGCAAGGCTGCTGGGCTGGAGGCCAGGTATTGGAAATCAGCAGCAGTAGGCGAGAAACCAAACCATGCTTTTCACCTCCAATGGGATTTCTTCACCAGCAGCACCCCCAAAATGCACAGCTCTGCAGGGCAAGCCAGGGCTTCGCATCACCCTGCCCACACAACACACTCCTCTGCCTGGTGACGAAGGCCGCAGTCACACACCACAAACAGCTCACAGCTAATCTCCTGCAGGACTAATCACCCCCGAGGCTCGTTTTGCAAGGTAAGGAATGCGTTCTTCCACAATGAGACCTTTTATGAAGCTACTCACACACAAACTAGTATTTCAGGGTCTTACACAGGGTTCAGAAGAGCACACAGCAGCGCTCACAAAGAGCAGACTCTCCCTCTGGGAGGTGTGGAAGCGGTTCTCACTCCCCCATGGGCAGTGAGGACAGCCCAGCCTCCAGAACAACAGCTGGCCACAGTTCAGCTGTGCTGCACCACGGGGACAGGTGATGAAAACTGAGCCCTGCTTGTTCCCCTACCACCCCGCTCCCCAAAACCCAGGCTTGGTCCATGCATCAATGTGCCATCGTGGCCCAAAGGAGACACCAAGCAGACAGGTCTCCCTCCACTCACCCCAGCAGACACCCCAGCGTGCGGAGCGGAGCTCGCAGAGATCAGCAGATGGGAGGATCCTCCGGACAGGGTACGGCACGCACCTCCTGCTGCTGGCACACCACAGGCACTGCAGCATGGGAAAGCACAGCATTACTGCCAGGTACCACGCTCCTAAGTGCCACAGCTACCCAAAGTGAGCAGCAGTAGCCATTCTGTTCTGCAGCAGGTTCATCTCAGCAGGGAATGAAGGTGTGGGGAATGGGGATTCCTGTAGCAAGCAAAGATGCTGAGAGCACTTCTCCTGGCTTGCAAGGAAGGAATAATCATTAAATCCTTTGTGTTCATTCCACCCAGGAAGGCCTTTAAGACAAGCCCCTTGGTACAGAATTGCTGGTACAGAAGATGCCCACCTGTGCCATCACAGATCCCTCCCAGCCAGACCTGCTGCAGCACCTCCACTCAGTCAGCTCCAGCCCAAGAATCAGAATCCCTACAGCTGAACTTGAGTATCTTAGGGGTGTCTTGCAACCCCAGCCCACCCCACCATGCCCACCATGTCCCTCAGTGCCACATCTCCACGGCTCTGGATCACCTCCAAGGATGGTAACCACCACAACCTCCCTGAGCAGCCATGCCAGTGCTGCCCACAGCCCCAGGCCAAGGTGCTTGGCTTTGGTCAGAACTTCCTGGCCAAGTCAGCAGTGAGGTCTGTCTCAAACCCAAACTTCCTGCTTTCAAGGCTGAGTGGTGGAGGAGGTTTGCAGGAGAGCACGCAGCCCACAGCTGCCACCTGGCAGCCTATCCTACCCCCGCACACCTGTGGTGGGGCTGCATACATCAGGAACACCAAAAGGAAAGCTAACTGTTTCAAAGTGGGAAGAGACCTCTGGAAAGACCCTACCCTGATCTGCTGCGTGCAAGGCAACCTGCAGAGCTCAGGGTACTCAACCAGCAAGCATCTCTCGTCATGCTGGGCAGTCAGGTGCTCCTGCATTCACAAGACTCACCTGAGTACAAGCAGCAGCTCACATTCTTGAGGAGGAGCCCAGCATATTAAATGACTCAAGCAGCACACCATGAGACTCAAACACTTTCTAGCAGCCACTCCCTGAACACTAATGGGCACTGGTCCTTGCGCTACCATGGGCAGATAGGTGGTACCCACAGTGTGCTTGGGGCAGGGACAACAGAGCTCCAATAGGAAAGCAGCTCTTCATACAACCCCCCCAAAGCACACACAGTGCTTCTGGACATTCGGGAGAAGTCAGAGTTACTCCTGCTACTTACAGTGACATTCTTCAGGCACTCCTCGCAGCTTCTGTTTGTATATTGCTGACATTCTGTAGAAAGGAGAACAGAATGAGACACCTGAGTACTTGGGGGAGCTTGTCTGTGTTAGAAGCTCTGTGCTCCTTGGAGCCTGTTTTTGTCCCCCCACATTGCAGGGACCTGTGCCCTAGGACATGCTGCCATGCATTAAATGCTGCTCCCAGCGCTGCAGGCATGCTAACAGAGAGCCTGCTGCATCTGCAGCAGCACCCTGGTTCTGGAGACAGATGCTGCCCCATGCCCTCCAGAAGCCACCTGAGCTGCAGCAGATAAGAGCTGATTTGAGGGAGACTCAAAGGCAAAACCAAGCCTGGCCCACACCAACACAAAGCAGCGAGCTGCTGGCTGCTCTGGATAGCTGAGCAGTGCTGCAATGGGGCCGTCCTGAGACCTGCTGGGCAGGGACAGACTGCACCATCCCCTACCACTGGGTGAGAGGGCAGCTCAGTCAAACAGAACCCAGACAAGGAAGTTGCTGCAAGGAAAAGCAGCAGAGAGGCAGAAAGGAACAACCCCACAGCAGAGCAGCCCCCCAGTAACTGCAGCAGGAGGAGCAATGCTTCGCAAAGCCCCAGTCCCGAGGTGCCCCATGTGTGCGAGGAGCAGAGCTGCATGTTCCCCTTGCAGCTGGGAGGAAGCCTCAGCTGCGGCCCACTGTCAACAGCCGGTCACATGCTCTGCACAGCCCTCCAAACAACCCAGCGATTTATTAACACGGCTCAGATAAGGCTGTTTATGCACCGTGGAGAGGCTGAGATTGCATGCTCCGCACAGCCCTGCAACGCTCTGGGAAGCCGCATCCTCCCCATTTGCCCAGCCAAGGCCGGGAAAGCATCACAGCTGTCGGGCTGCCTCGGCCTGTTTGTTTCCAGGGCGCTTGGAATCCACCCTTTTGCCCCGGGAGGCAATCGGACAGTTTATCACACCCCCACCAGCACCGCTCTCCCTGGAGCACTCCCACTCGGGAGCTCCCAGCACTCCCAACCCCACGCCACCCTCCCGGCTCTGTGGGATCAGCCAAGACCCCAAACCCCGCGGCTACAGCCCCTTTACCACCGCAGCAACCCAGCTCCTAGCAGCGACAGGCGCGATCTCAACCCTCGACGGCCTCTCGCCAGCCACACGCCCGCTTCCCGACCGGGATCCTCCAGCTCACACTCGGCTTTCGCCAGCGGAACAGGAGAAAAGCAGAAGTCACGCCGCTCCCACGCGCAGCCGTTTCCCGGAGCAGCCCCTACCGCGACCACCGCCCCGCGGCACCCCCAGGACGGGCCCACGGGATCAGCGCAGCCGCCACCCGATCCCCCCGCTCACCTCCCGCCGCCTCCCGTTGTTGCGCGGCGGCCGCGAGGAGCAGCAGCGGCACCACGAGCGACGCAGCGCACAGCCGCAGCGCGGGCGGCGGGGCCATGGCGGCACCGGCACACGGGGGCGGTGGGGCGGCCGCCGCCTTTCTAGAGCCGTCGGGGTGGGGCGGGACCGACGGGGGCGTGCCGGGGGCGGCCCCGAGCCGCTCGGCACCGGGGCGCGGAGCGAAGGTCGACCCCCACGCGTGGCGGCGGCGGCGGGGCGAGGCGCGTCCACGCTGCCGCCGCACGGGTTTGGTGTCGGCAAGGGGGGAAGCGGCGTTCGGGGGCTTTTTCACGGGGTTGGTCGGCTGCGATGGGGTAGAGAGGCGTGTTCCGGCATCCCCCGATTCGCCCCAAAGACCCCGCTTCGACTGCCGGGTTGCCGGGTTGGAGCATCACTTGCCACGTTTGTGACGTCGTTCCACTCCCTCTGCAAGCAAAACATGGGGGGGAAAAAAAACCCAAATTCTATAGCTTGAACACGTGGCATCGTGCCTCTGCGCCTCTGGCTTCGTCACATAGCTCGTTGCCCGCTCTGACGGCTCCAGCGATGTGTTCCCGGTGATGGAGTCCCGCTGGCTCGGAGAGGTCTGCCAAACCGCGCAGCAGGCGGAGGTGCAGGGGAGGGGGGATTTGGCAGCTCCGCGGGAGAAACGTGGGGCCCCTCGCATGGAGCTGGCGGGGAACCGCGGCTGTCCCGAGGCACCGGGGCTTCCTGGGGAGGGAGTGGTGCTCGAGGCTGGATGGCAGCGGTGCCACCCGTGTGCCTCCCAGTGCCACCTGCATCCCCCCCAGCACCACCCGCGTCCTCTCCAATGCCACCCCTGCGCCCTCCAATGTCACCATGTCTCCTCAAGTGCCACCCCTTTGCCCTCCGGTGCCATCACTGAGGGTCAGACACTGCACGTCCCCTTTTGGGGAGCTCCGAAAGCAACCGGGATGGGAGCAGCTCCCGTCCTGCTGTGTGCCAGCAGGGCCTTCCTGTGCACTCTCCTTATTTGTCGATGAAGGGTATTTTCACCCCGCTTAAGATGGCCTCAAGTGGTTTCCAAGGCAACAGTGCTAAAGTCATCACTGCCATGGAAACCCTCTCTTTGGCATAATATAAATATTTTCCTTGTGGAGGGAGGCTGGATGAGTGGGCGATGTGCTATTTTCTAGCACTCGCTGGCTGCAGCAGGACAATCTCCAGGAGATGGGGGGGCCAGGGAGGATAAAATTAGCTCAGCAGGGCGGCCGGCGATGGAGAGGGAGGCTGCCAGCATTGCGCTGGGGCTCTTGTGTCTCAAAAAGGGTTACTCTGCAGAGAAAGGAAAAATATGTCTGAGGGCAGAAGCCACTGCATCCATCATCAGGGCCATGTGGGAGCTGGGCTTTCCTGACAGAGATGCTGCTCCCATCCCACTGCTCCCATCCCACAGATCCCATCCTACAGCTCCCATCCCACTGCTCCCATCCCACTGTTCCCATCCCTCTATTCCCATCCCACAGCTCCCATCTCTCTGTTCCCATCCTACAGTTCCCATCCTACAGCTCCCATCCCACTGCTCCCATCCCGCTGCCCCTATCCCATCAATCCCATCTCAAAGCTCCCATCCCACAGCTCCCATTCCACTTTTTCTATTCCAGTGCACCCATCCCATTGCTCCCATCCCACTGCCCATGGGGCTAAGCTCACGCAGACCCCATAGCTTGCTTTGGCATTGTCCTGTTGTGCTGCCCTGCTGGAAAAAGACCAAATCCCACAAACAGGCAATGTGTCTCAGCTGCTCACTGGATCCCAGATAAAACCCCAAGGATCTGCAGGCTAAATATAGCCTGAGCCCCTGTAAATTAAACAAAAGCTTTTTGCCAGGCTCACAGAAAGCTGGTTCCAGTGTTGGTTTTCTCTATGTAAGGTATAACTCCAGCAGTATCTGTTATTGTTAGCCGCAGCTCCCCATGCTGCCGGCCCCCCTGCCATGGCTCTTTGGGAACACGCATCATGTAGGGCTCAGCTTCTCCCTCCCAGCTGCTGCTCCTGCCTGACCCACCACCCTACAGTGATACTCAGTCCCTCCTGCCCCAGCACCATCCTGCTTGTGCATCCCAGGTCCTCCGTTTGCACACACGCAGCTGCCCGCCTGCTTTCAGTGAACTCAACAAAAAAAGTCGGCCCCGAGCCTGCCATGGCTATATTTAGTTGGAACTTTTCTGTCCAGGATTCAGACTCTATTTGGAAACCTTGTGCCTTGGCTCACCGCCAAGCATCCTGGTTTCATACAGTAATCCCTCAGCATATGGCAAATGGTTCTCATCTCCTCGCGGCTGCGGCACAGCCCCAGCAGTACGACGGCACAGCTCTGAGCTGAAAGCAAGATGGGCTGTGGTTGTGGCCCCACATCCCCAGACTAGAAGCTCTTGGAATAGGAATATCCTCCTTATGTTGCTTTCAAGCATCTCCAGAGCTGCCCTGACCCCACAGTTTCCCAGAGGTCTGATGGATGTTGGGCTGTGCTCGAGGCATCACAACACCCATACGTTTCTCCATTGGTTGGTTTGGGTGAATCAGGGTTTAAGCACAACGCTGTGTATGCACAGGGCTCGGTGCAGCCCCTCCATCTCCACCTGTTTGTGGGGATCTCCCTCTGCAGCTTTGCAGCACTGCAACCCTCATTCAAAAAGCAAAGCGAGGACGTGGCCTGGGAGTCCCCCAAAACCTTCAACGCTTTCAAATCAGCCCTTGGAGAGCTGGGGAGGCAGGAGCTGGGGGTTTGTCGGAAGGGTTTCAGCCCCATGAGTGCAGCACTCAGCAAAGGTTCCAGCTCTGCGCATAGCTCTGTGCGTGCGTAAGTGTATTACAGCATCTCTCTTGGAAACCCTCAGCACTGATATTCCAGCCCATGGAAAGCAAAACCAGAGGTTCCCAATGATGTGCACATTTCTCTTCTTATGAGACACGGGGAGGGATGGAGCCAGCTGGGAAAGGTGATCCCGTGGCTATTTTTACAGCACTTCAAAACGGTTTAACTTTGGGATGGGAATGATGATGTATAACAAAACTATCTGCTCCAGAACCTCCAGACCTAAATCCCACAGTATTATTTTAATGCAGCAGGTTAAGGGATCTGATCGAGTGTGTACTCGATGTGATGCTTCATCTCACTCCTTGCGGCCCGCAGTGGGAGCAGCTGGGAGGTGCTGCTGGGTGCCAGGCACCTGTGGGATGTGTGGGCTTTGGGAGCCCAGGGGGTGGAGTGAGAGTCCCGCAACGCCCCAGCACTGCTGGAGCCCATCCAAGCTGTATGGCTTTGCTGAGACACCCATGAGTGTGCTCCCTACAGCGCTGTGATTCATCCGCAGCCACTCGATTCAGCTGTAGCCTTTCATCTGCCGGGAATGTGGCATTTTCTTAAATCACATGGGCTTTTTGTGATGCTATTACACACCTACGGGTCCAGCTGTTCCATCCTGGACACTTTCTGGATGGTGCCATCCTGTCTGAAAGGCACCAGGTGCTCACCTGGTTCTGCAGTATAGGGTGGCACAGCTCAGGTTCTGCAGTATAGGGTGGCACTGGGTCATGCCACAGCCCAGCAGCAGCCCAGGGCTGTTGGTTGTCTGCAAGCAGCAGCACCGTGAGTGCTGAGCCCTGCCTGCAGGCTGTGTACGTCCACGCATCCCACAGGGTGGGATCATTTCACATCTATTTGCCACGGCTTCTCTCCATCTCAGCTAGCTAGCCTGGGAGTCGCAGCTCGTGGTGCCAAACGCCGCCCCGCCGTGTTTATTAACGATGATTGTAAAACCTTGGCAAACGCTTCTGCCAGCAGGTCTGCAGAAACCCCGCCGGATGCGGTGCCTCCGAGCAGATGGGGCTGGTTAGGAGGTGTCACGCTGCTAACAGCATCGCGCAGCTCTGCGCTCGCAGCGCGCTCCGAGCCAGCAACGAGCTGAGCTGACAGCACGGGGAGTGCAGCTCTGAGTGCCCCGCCGGGCAGCACCTCCTCCTTCCCTTTTCTCACTGGCTGCAACTTCTCCTCCCGCCCACCGTGCCCACATCCTCACTGCCATCATTGCTACTGTGCAGCACCGATGCGCCCGAAATCGTGCACATCACCACTGCTGTGCTCAGCGGGCACTGCTTTGTGGTTTCTCCATCACTCCTTCCATTTGCTTTGTCCTCCACCACCAAAAACCTCCCCGAGGTGCCCAGGGTTGTTCAATGTATGCTCACTGATGACATCAGCTCTTCAAGGCTGCACAGGTGCACAGGGAACCTCCATGTCTTCAAGCAGCCTCCACAACTGTTTTTGGTGAGAGTGTGATTTTCTAACTATGATGTTTACTTGGGTTAAAAAAAACCACTGGGAACTGTCACCCACAGCACCATTTTCTAAACGTTTCAGTAGTGTCATATCACATCAGTGTTAGGTGACACAGGCACAGCAGGGCTGCATGGAAGCATCCCTCTCTGCTCTGTCACAGTGTAATTCCAGGGAGCTCCACGACTGGGATATGGGTGGAAATCCTTAGCAAATGGCTAAGGATCCCCCTTAGCATATGGCCATCCCCTTCTGCAGGCTATGCATTGTTGTTGTCTTCTGCAGAGGGCTCAGGGTTGCTTGCCCACCCCAGCACCCAGGTGGAAAAGCTGCACTGCATCCCTGTTTCACCCACACCATCCTCCCGCGGCAGGCAGCTCCTGGCTGCATGGGAGAGCTCAGCAAAGAGGCCGGCTCAAGAGCACTCCAGCACCATGCCCAAGGGACACCCCTCCCCATGGCATTTTCTAATTTGAGGCAGATCTGTCACTCCCCAGGCCGCACGCCGCGTCTCGCTGTGAGTTAATATAAAGCTGCGACCACCCGCGGGCAGAGCAGGAGATCGCGTCCTTCTCACGGCCACGCAGAGCAAAAGTGCAAAAAAAAAAAGAAGCCAAAAAAACAGCCTGGAAGTTTCTCCCATGGGTTTTTCCCTTTGAAATCTGACATCTTTCCTCTCTCAGTGAGGAACACGCTGGGGAGGCAGGAGGCAGCCCACTTGTCTCTGTACTGCGGGATGGGCTCGTTTTGTTGTATCTCCTCTGGTCTGCTTGTTCCTCAGTGCCACAATGGGCTCTGCAGTTCCCATCTCCATCATATATGTAGTAAAATAATGGGGTTCTAATGGCTGGGGATCCCTTCATGCCTGTGTGGGGAATGCAATAGAGCTGAGCTATGGCGGAGCCAATGAAGCACGAGACAAGGCAGCACCAGGTGGCCCTTGGGATTGGCCTTCCAATCTTCCCCTGTATCTCATTCTCTGAATGTGAAGATCCAGGAGGTGCCAGCAAACACTGATGCTTTCCCAGAGCTCTTTGGGGTGAAAAATGCTTGGTGCAAATCCCTGGCATGCATCGAGCTTTCCGGAGAGCCTGGCCCTGTTCTGTAGCTGGGCTGCCCCTCGGAGAGCCATGGGGCATGGATAACCCCAAAATGGGCACCTTCCAGCTCCGTGAGGCTTTGCCATTGCTTTCTGGGCTGGGATCCGAGCTCCGTGGGCAGCTGGGCCCTGCTAGGGGGAGCAGCAGAAAAAAACAAATTGTCAGGCGTCAGAGCAGGGAATTGTTGGTGACTCAGGTTTAAGAAGGAGAATTTTTGCCAAGCAAAATGTGATGGCTTTTTTGGACGGGGCTAGAAGACGGGACTGCAGCTCTGATCAATGCAGTTCTCAGGCTGCTGCTTGCGTCAATCCGGAGGGAGAGGCCCTGTGTGACCCATGATGTTGGTGTGGGGGTGCCCATATGGGGGGCACACAGACACGGGGCAGTTCTTTCCCTCGGGCATGGCAGGACGGGGGCTGGCAGCCGTGCATTGTCTCATCTGCCCACATTTGCCACCTCGAGGTTCTTTTTCATGAAGGAAATGTAGGGAGAAGCTGCTGCCCCAATCCTTGAGGATGGCAGCAGTAAGCAGAGAGAGATCACCAGCGAGGCTCTTGAATAATCATAATTTCATCTTTCTACCATTTTAATTTACTAATTAATCCTTGGAAGGAATATCTACTTGGATGCGGGGAAAAAATGGAACTCCTCCATCTGCGTGTGCTCGGCGTCTCACCAGCAGCCCAGGCAAAGCCTCAGCAACACGGTGAAGGCAACGTGGTGTAGCAGCCGGCCCGCTGGGTTTTGTTCTGCAAACCTCACAGGGCTCCAGACAGAGCCGTTCCCAGCCCCCGGCAACGACTCGAGAGCTCCCTTGTGCTGGAGAGCCCTGGGCTCTGCTGGAGGAGAGCAGACGGAAGGGAACCGCGCATCCCATGGGCATCGCTCTGCAAAGAGCTTCACCCGCTGCGTGGATTTAAGTAATTTTGGGGGAAAGAGGGGCTGGAGCATCGCAGCCCCGGGCACACAGCTGGAGCATCACAGAGGTGACATGCAGGACGCAGCGATGCCGTCCGTTCTGCCCCTCTCTGCCCGTTTCTCTCAAGAAAGTTCAGTCCCGGCTGTCAGTCCCCTTCTGCTTTTTTCCAAGTCGGAGAGCTACGTGCACGTATGGCGTCTTTAATTAGTATCAATAGAGAGAAACATAAATAAGAGACATGCCTGAAATAGTGTCACCCCCGAGCAGGCAGGCGGCCGCGTCATGGAAAGAAAATAAAAATGCTTTTTATCTCTTTTGGGCCTTTTCTGTTTGTTTGTTTGCTTGTTCCGCTCCGCAGGAAGCAGCACCCCGGAGCTGCGGGGCGCCGGGCATCGCGCTCACCCGGCCCGCGGCTCCGCACCCTCCCGCTGCCGGCGGCGGGGGCGGCTCGGCGGGGCGCTGCCCGGTGCCCGGGGCGGGGGCGAGGCGGGGGGGGGCTCCTCCCGGTACCCGCCTCCCGCCGGTGCCGGCCCCGCGCCCGCGGCCAGGCTCCACCTTCCGAAGGGGCCGCGGAGCTGTCAGGCGGCAGCGCCGGGTCCGCGCTCGGGAGCTCCGGAGATTGCTCCTCCTCCGCCGCCGGTCCCGCGGATGGCCCCGAGCGCCCGCCGCCGCCTCGCCTCCCCGTAAGGGACCCGAGGGGTACGGGCTGCGGGGGGCGGGAGCCGCTTGGCCGAAAGGAAAGCTTTGGGTAGGGATGGAGAGCGAGCGTGGGAAAAGCCCGAGCTCTCGGGAGCGGCCGGCACCAACTTTGCGGCGCTGCCCCCGGTCCCGCAGTGGGGCTCCGGTTGTGCGGGGGGGGGCTCCGAGCAGCCCGTGTTCCCCCCGCTTCTCCGCGGCCGGCTCCGACCCCGTCCCGGGGCTCGGGGTTGGGTTCGGAGAGCTTCGGGAGCGCGGGGCGGGCGGGGAGGAGCCGCGCTGCTTCGGGCATCGCTGGCGACGGGAACCGCGGGCGCCGGGGCCGGGGCTGTAACCCGGGGAAGAGGTGCACGGGGTGGTGGCGGGGACGGGGCAGAGGCTCGTTTTCCCCCGGGGCTGAGAACATGGCTGCCAGCGAGCCCTGATCGCAGCCTGCTAATGCCCGCGGAGGCTGCGTGCCGCGCTGCCCTCACTGCTGTCTGTACGTGCGTCGGGTCTCAGCTCGGTACCAACCTGCGCGCCCCGCTGCTGGGAGAGCCGCGCTGCCGCTCCCGGGCAGCCCTTCCGACGGGCGAACGGCTCTGCCCCTGCGCGGGGCAGGAGGTGCGGAGCGCCGGGAGGAGGCCGTCTGGAACTTGTTGTTCGGGTTGTTAGCGGGGATGGAAGGGGAGAAGGGTAACTTCAAAGCTGCGGGGAAACAGCGCCGTTCCACTCAAGGTGCAGCTGACCCTGAGGACTGGCTACCGCGGGGTTCCTGGGGCTGTCCCGCTCTCGTGGCTTCGTGCATGCAGGATGCTGCTGCCTCGGGCTGGGGCTCTTCCACAAGACGGGCTCTGCGGTGGTGTCTGAGCAGAGATCCAGGCTGCTCTGAGAGAATATTTGGGGGAAAAAGTGATGGCAATGAGAGAGCGACGGCAGGTGCCTGCTCCTCCAAAAGCAGCGCTCAGCGAGGGCGAAGCATCTCTTGGCAAAGTGCTGCTCTCTGTCCCTGCCCACGGGTGTGAGGGGCTTCAGGTCGGTGCACCCATGCACATTTCCTCAGTGCTGCGGGGTGCTGGGATCCAAAGGGAGCTCTGGTGCCTGCAGAAAGCGCTTTGAGGTTGACTCGGTCTGGGTTTGTTTGCTGCAGTGGGACAGGAGGGATTTCCACCCCATTTAATGCCAGTGGGGCCTCTTGGCTGAACATCACAGGAGCAGTCAGACCCTTAGGAAAGGTGGGGGCACCCAGGCTGCGGGTCCTGCTCTGGGGCTGGTGGGACACAGCCACCCCCTCCTGTTGGGCCCCACGGGGCACGCAGAGGGCAGGCGAGGTGCTGGCACCACTGGAAAACCCTCTCCTCATTTTTTGTACCGCTGGGAGGAGAGCTATTTTTAGGAAGAGGCAAGTTTGATTTAATATCATGTAATTTGCTGCTGACAATTCAGAGGCCGTCCAAATGAGCAGCAGCTGGATTCCCGAGGAGGCTTTTTCCTTCTCTCCCTAAGACCCGAGGCTGACATGCCAGAAGTGGCATTTGTTGTTCTTCAGATTGATGGGGGAAAGCCTCTAGGAGCAGCCCAATCAGGGCCATGTCCTGCCCCGCTATCTCTGAGTATGGGGACAGATAGAAGGAGCTGGGAACCACAGCCAGCCCCCCTGCGCCTTTCCTTTGCAAACTGAACTAGCTCCATGCTCCTAGCCTCTCCCTGTATGATTAAAGATAAAAAACAGTTTCTGGTCCAACTAAGCAGCTCATTTGCCTGGAAACAGAAAGCACTTTGGGGGGGGGGGGTTTCAGACAGAGCCTCTGGAGTACCTGGAGACAAGCACTGCATCCTGCGGGAGTTTGGACACAGCGTTCCCACTTGCGCCTCCACTGCACCACCCCCAGCGCTCCAATAATTCCTGCTGCAGGGTTTGCTTGAGATGCATGTGTCTATGCGGAGGAGATGGGAACATCCCCTCCCTTTGCCTCTGCCTTGGACCCTCTTGTTGTGGAAGGAAATGGCTCTCTTCTTTTCCCCAGTGATTGGTGCCTTGTTTTATCATCCAAGAACCCCGAACACCATCCGAGCATCCCATCCCAAAGCACCAAATGCTTTGCTCACACCATTCGAGCATCCCAAAGCACAATTTGAGCATCCTAAAGCACCAGTGTCTCAACACCTCCCCTGTTCGTTGATGCAAAGGGATGCCAACAAGCGTGCACAAAGGGCATTTGGCCCTGAATGACCATCACTTGGCAGCGATCAATCCCTGTCTTCCGCAGGTCCAGCTCCAACGGTTTGCCTTGAGCCACAGCTCCCAGCTGCCAGGGCTGGGCACACCTCTCTCACTCAGCGCTGTTTCTCTCCAGGCATGCAGGTTATGCTCACTCTGGTGCTGGAACACCGCTCTCCACCAGCCCTGGCTCTGTGTTATCCAGTTGCTCTCCACCTGGCAGCCAGCACCAAACCAGAAGCCGGCCCTAAAATCGAGATCTAATTGCTCCCGTCTGCTCCTTGAAGAACAAGCGTCTCCAGGGCTGGCTGCGTGTCCTCGGGAAGCTGACATTTCCCCTGGACCTCAGCCACCGATTTGGTTAAGTGAAGAAGCTAATAAATTTTGAAGCCTGCAAATTGATCGGCTGGAGACTGCCACTTTGCTTGAAGCCCTCTGACATTTCCTCTGGGGCACAGCCTTCCCCAGCACTTTTCTTCGTGTAGGTTCCCCCTCGCCTGGTTTAGAACATAGATTTTCATTAGAAAAGATTATCAGCTGTGGGAGCCAGTGAAAGGTCAGGGCTGGCTCCGTGGATGGAGCTGCAATCTGTGAGTTTCCATTCGTTCACATCCTCTGCCCTGCAGGCATCGTGAGCTGTGTCTTCTGTAATTAATAGCCTCGTTCTTTCTGCCTGTATCATGTTGAATTCCCTTGCAAAATGCTGATGGGGAAGCTCTGGCTAGGAGCAGTGGGATGTGTTTCACTGAGGTTACGCAGGGAATCTCCCCATTTGAGGCAGCCTCTCCAGCAGGTGCTGAGCCCTGGGGTGAGCAGTGGCTCAGGAAGCCCCTTGGGTCCAAAGGGTTGGGGAGCTCCATGGTTCCCAGCAGGACCACACCAGGGGTGACCTGCTGCTGGGAAAGCAGTCTCACCCTCCATTTCCAAGCTCAGGAGTCCCAGTGACATTAGCCATGTCCATCTGAGAAGGAGTTTTGGTGCCATGATGCCATCCTCTCTTTCTTTCCCACTGCAGGAAGGAGGGTGCTGGCCAGGTGCTCCAGCCGTGGCTGCCCTGAAGCTCTCAGCCTCACTGCCAGAGTGATGCTGTGTGTGGGACCAGAACCCCTGTGCCCTTCACAGTGCCGACGTGACCCAGCATGGTGATGAGCCCAGGCAGCTCCTAGAGTGGTGGCCGGTGGCCCTGCAGCGGCCCCAAGATGAGTGACGGGGGCTGGATCACACTCAGCCCCGCTGAATTCGCCCAGCTCCAGCAGTACACTGACTGTGAGTAGTGCTCCTTGCATGGCCTGGCTCCCAACACCCAGCTCTCCTCCATCCTGCCCCTTTGCAGCTTCACGGCTATGGGGACCGGCTCACAGCTCCCTGCCTGTGATTTAAGCATGGACAATTTGTCCTCTGAGATTTGGGACAGTTTGGATGGCACTTGGGACAAGGAGGCTCGGCGGGGTCTGCCACCTGCAGGGATGCTCAGCCTGCAGCTCCTGGCCACCGCAATGGAGAAAACATCAGATGCATCCACTGATGCTACTGAAAAATAAGAGCAGAGCTGCTGCGCTCCCCTGGTGTCCATCACCTCCCTGCAGCAGGGCTGGGGCCCCAGGGACCAGCCCAGTGTCACTCAGAGCACTGCAGCCCCATCCCCAGAAAGCCCCCGCGCCGGGTGGCAGCGGCGCAGACGTGAGCACAGCTCCATCCCTCTGCAGGCACCCACATTTGTCGGCAAAGTGAAATGCCAGCGGGGAAAGCGGGCGGGCTTTTCCCAAACACACGGAGCTGCGCTACAGCTCAGCTCTGGCTGCCAACCCTCTGCGATGATTTTGCTTTTGCAGAGATGGAATTTTGCTTTTGCAGAGATGGAATTTTGCTTTTGCAGAGACAGAATCACGAGCCTCGGGTAACTTTTATAGAATCATAGAATCACAGAATGGTTTGGGCTGGAATCCCATCCGGTCCCAACCCCTGCCGTGGGCTGGCTGCCCCCACCATCTCAGGCTGCCCAGGGCCTCATGCAGCCTGGCCTTGAGCACCTTCAGGGATGGGGAACCCACACTTCTCTGGGCAGCAGTGCCAGCGCCTCACCACCCTCTGAATATAGAATTTTTTCCTAATACCTCATCTAAACATCTTTTAATTTAAAGCCATTACCCCTTCTCCTTTCGCTGCACTCCCCAGTAGGGTCCTCTCCAGCTTTTCTTCTGTAGTCCCTGTTAGGCACTGGAAGGCTGCTGTGAGGTCTCCCCTTCTGTGTCCAGGCTGAACACCCCCAGATCTCAGCCATAGCAGAAGTGCTCCCACCCTCTGAGGATCCTCATGGCCTTCTCTGGACCCACTCCAACTGGTCCATATCCTTGTGCTGGGGTCCCCAAGCTGAATGCAGCACTGCAGGTTGGGGTTCAGACAGTGGAGCAGAGGGTGACTGTCATCCCTGACCTGCTGGCCATGCTGCTGGAATGCCTGGAATACAGTTGGTTTTCTGGGCTGCAAACACACAATGCTGGTTCATATTCAGTTTTTCACTCGCCAGCACCCAAGTCCTTCCCTGCAGCTCTGCTCAGCACCCTCTCATCGCCCAGCTGACATCTGTGCTTAGGGTTGCCCTGACCAGGTGCAGGACCTTGCATTTGCTTTATGTGGTTCTCAGGGCTCACCTCTGGAATCTGCCCAGTTCCCTCTTCACAACAGCACTTCCTTCAGTGCTGAGCACACCTCCCCTGGGCACTGTGCTGCAGGTGAGACGGGCTGTGGGCAGGGGTGCAGCGTTGCTGCCAGCACCTCATCCTTCCTTTTCAGAGAACGAGCTCTGCGTTATTTAATCACAGACTATAAAACACCATCTGTAATGCTGAGTTTGTGCACAGCATCTTCGTTGTGTTAATCAAAGTTTGGCAAGCGAGGCTTGCTCGGGAGGTGGGGGGCGGCTGCAGCAGGGAGCTGGGAAGGAGCTGGTGTTTTGTGCAACTGCAAATATCCTTCCCGTCTCCAGACACTGCTCTGCCATCCTCATACGATGCACAAGGGGCTAATCATGGGAATGGAAACGTTTTGAATGACAGTGCAGCTTGTGAGCAGGCAGAAGGGATATTTTCTAGCAAAAGAAATACAGCTGCCACCCGAAGGGCAGGGGCGTGACGGATGAGCCATCCTTCCCCTCCCTGAGGCAGGGGTGCGGAGTCCAAATGCAGCATTTCCCACAGCCTCCTTCAAAGCACTTGGGTGCTACTTAGGGCCAGCCCAGGTGTTGGCTCCAGAAGATGCACAGGGACAGAGTGAGAAGCCTGACACTGGGCAGAAGTCGTGCTGCAAGGCTGGGGCTATCCCGTGGAAATTGGGCTGACCCCAAATCCTGCACCTTATGGGGGTCAGGAGCTCCCCAAGGTCCTTCCTGTCCCAAACACCAGCTGCATTGGCCCCACATCATGTGTCTGTCCCATAGCACTCGTGGCCCAGCACCCCCAGTGGAAGAGCAAGAGGTAGCTCCATCCTGCATATAGAGAGGAATTAGCAGCAATAAACAGGGATCATGTGCCCAAGAGCCACTTAAATGTCCCCCCAAAAGTGGGACACAAATGGACCCTCCCGGGGCATGCAGGGACCTGGCTGTTTGTCAGTGAGGAAGCTTGTTGCCACCTGGAGTTGTCAAAGGGGGCTTGCTAGCACCATGCTCAGTGCAATGCTTTTGTCTCCCCAGACTCCACGAAAAAGCTCAAGGATGTCCTGGAGGAGTTCCATGGGGATGGTGTCCTCTCGAGGTACAACCCTGAACAGGTACAGCCCTTTCCCATCCAGCCTTCCCCACTGCCTGCTCGGTCACACCAGCACAGTAGATGCTGCTGGGAGACTCCAACTCCCTAGTCATCTACCCCATCATATCCCATCATATCCCATCATATCCCATCCCATCCCATCCCATCCCATCCCATCCCATCCCATCCCATCCCACCCCTCCCATACTATCCCACTCCATACCATACCACCCATTCTACCCGCTCCCATCCCATCTTGTCGCATCCCATCCCATCTCTCTTGCCATCCCATCCCATTTCATCCCTTCCTGTCCCATTTGATCCCATCCCTCACTGTGCATTTTTGGCACTTTCTTGCCATGCAGGAGCAGAGAAGTGATTTACTCTCACTTACCCCTTGCACTTCCCCCCAAAGCAATTTATTTTGCTGTTGCCAACCTGGGGACATGGGCAGGCCCTGTACCTTGTCACACTCACCTGGGGAAGGCTGGGGTTGTTTGTTCCAAGTGGTGCTTTTAGTGAGAGCTATTATTGTGCCGGCACGACAGAGCCTTTCAGGAGGGCTATAATCACTAGAAACGAGGTGAAATGAGAAAATCAGTGGGCTGAAAGCTGCAAGGAGAAGCAGCAGAACCACCTCGCTATTCACGCTCACTGTAGGACCCCACACAGAAGGAGATTTCCCCATGCGGGAGGCAGTTATGTTATGGGGGAGCTGCAATCACCTCACCCCTCTCCTTCCCTTTGGGAGCCTTTCACCTCCCCCAGCACATCCCCAGTCCCCGTACCCACCAGCCCATTGCTGTGCAGGACACAGTGCTGCAAGGGCAGGGTTGCAGGCACCATTGTGCAGAGCAGACCCTGCCCCGTGTGCAACCTCAACCCACAGCCCCCTGTGCCCCCGCAGCCCATCGACTACGAGGGCTTCCGCCTCTTCATGAAGACCTACCTGGAGGCAGAGGTGCCCGAGGAGCTCTGCCAGCACCTCTTCACGTCCTTCAAGAGGAAGAGCTGCCAGGCAGCCCCCGAGACCCAGCGCCAGAGCCCCAGCGTCTCGCAGCTCGGTGAGCCCGCTTGGCACGAAGCCGAGCACAGCAGCCTGGCTCTGTCCCATTACCTCTCCCTGCCCTGGGGAGGACAGAGCTTCATGGTGCCAAACTGTGTTTCAGAGCCCAAGTCTCTTGATGCCGGCATCTCCATCCAGACCGAGGTGGCCTGCGCTCCTGTCACAGGTACCATGCGGGGCCGTCGGTGCGGCCAGCACTGTGTCCCCCCTCTGCTGGGTCTGCAGCGTGCGGAGACATCTGCTGAGAGAGCGCATTAAACTGCAAAAGCAATAGGAAAAGCACACAGAGGACGGTGTCCTCTCCATCCAGACCCCAGCACCCATCCCTAGGGCATGAGGGCTGAGCACAGTGCGGGACTGAGGGGTCAGGATATGGGCCTGCCGGTGGGCTAGTGAAGAGGATGCGGTGGCTAGTGACAGGAAGGGGGCTTCTGGAGGCCGGTGGGGGAGGCAGTTATGTCTGCTTTGCAGGGATCAACGGGAAAACGCTGCTCAGCGCCCTGGGACGGCACACGGCTGAGCCTAAGGGCTGCCCCAGCACAATGGCTGAGCCGCAGCCGGCGGCGCTGAGCCCAGCCTCCATAGCCGCTGCCTCCCCCAGCTGGTCCCGCTCGTCCTCCCAGAAGTCCACTACTGGCACCCCCTCTGCTCACAACTCCTCGGGGTCCTCAAAGATCTCCTCGGGGTCCCTGCTCAGCCCCCAGTCGCCAGGTGAGCTCAGCTGGGGCTGTGCAGGGGACAGGTGACAGTGGTTCCCCGGTGCTGTTCCCGGGGCGGCAGCGGTGACCTCTCCAGCCAGGCAGCCTCCCAGTGCCTCAACACCTTTGCTTTGCAAACTGAAGCCATCGGTCCCATCCCGCAGAGCTGCCGCTGCTCAATGTCTTAATTACCTGGCAGCAGCTCCTATGGAGAGGGATTAATGAAGTGCCTCCCCGCTGCCCGAGGAGCGAGCGGCCATCTGCTGCGGGTAGACCGCATGAGCTGTCCCCTGCCCCGGGCACAGGTGGCATCACCCGGCCCTGCTCCACGTCCTCCACATCACCCGAGTCCTGTGGAGCATCCTGCAGAGCTCCTTGGCCCCCTCCCGATGCACAGCCCAGTGTGTGTCCCCTCCCTCCCCGCAGGCTCCAGGAGTTTGGAGAAGAGACTTCCCTTCAGTCTGCGGAAAAGCCATAGCACCCTGAAAGCTGCCCCCCAGCACCCTCCGGCCCCCCTGGCTCAGGTGGTCTACCTGAAGGACATCGTCTGCTACCTGTCCCTGCTGGAGAGAGGACGGGCAGAGGACAAGCTTGAGTGTGAGTGGCACCCCTGCACTGCAGGCTGCTGGTTACTGGGTGAACTGGGAGGAGTGGGAGGGCCCAAAGCTGGGCTGGCTTCAAACTTAGGCGGCTGCAGGAGTCAGCGTCTGTGGCAATGCCCTGTTTCTCCATCCCTGTTTCTATCCCCTCTGGGCTGTAATCCCTGGGTTAGGTGGCTTAGGTACCTGGCAGCAGCTGTTTGGGGATATGGGAGTTTAACTGGGCTCCAAGTTTGTCCCAGGTGGGATCGCTGCAAGATGCTGAACAATGTGAGGCCACATCCCTTCCCATAGGAGCCCAAAGGGAAATGTGAACACACCACAGGGCCTGCAGCAGCCCCACGGGTGCATGTGTGGCCTGGGATCAGTATGCCTTTCTCTCTGTTGTTGAAGTTACAAGCCCTTCCCCTACAGAGGGAAGAGTGTGTGGTGTGAGTGTGGGGGGAGGGGGGTGGGGGCAGGGAACCAGGGTGTCTTTTGGAAAGGCAGAGTCCAACCTGCAGTGGCTTTTCTTCTCCCTTCAGTTATGTTTCGCCTATATGACACCGATGGGAACGGCATCCTGGACAGCTCGGTAAGCCTGAGGAGGAGAAACCGAGGGCAATTTGGGATGCAGGGCAAGGGCACTGACCTCAGTCACCTCCCTGTGTACAGGAGCTGGATCGTATCATAAACCAGATGGTGCACGTGGCTGAGTACCTGGAGTGGGACTCCACTGAGCTGAAGCCTGTGAGTGCCCAGCGGGGGCTCGAGAGCCCAGGGGCTGCGAGCTGCACCCCGTTACAACCTCCCCTCCTGCCCTCAGATCCTGAAGGCGATGATGGAGGAGATTGACTACGACCACGACGGGAACGTGACGCTGGAAGAGTGGATCCGGGGCGGCATGACCACCATCCCCTTGCTGGTGCTGCTGGGAATGGAGACGGTGAGATGGGAGAGCTGGGCACGGAGCGAGGTCGTGGCAGCAGCAAGGCTGCAGGAGCCACGGGAGGGCAGCCTCCCCTCGGCAGCCCACGCGGGCTGCGTTTGTTCTGCAGCATTGCGGTGCGCTCCAGTGCTGTGCGTGTTCAACCCAAATGATGAGCGGGGGTGGTTTTCACCCCCCTTTATTTCCATGTCTCATTTTTTCATCCTACCGAGCTTCACATCCCCAAGCTGCATCCGAGTCCTCATCCAAGTTCCCTTCCATGTCTGATTTGAAGGGAAAATTTGTCCCCAGTGCCCATTCTGATGTTTGCTTTCCAAGGAGGGGTGGGTGGGCAGATTGTCAGGCAGGAATTTGAAGTGGCTCCTTGAGAGTGCTGGTGCCCAGACACAGATTCGAGAGGCGTGCTCTTCCACGAGGGGCTCAGCCTGGAGCCGGCTTTATTTGCGCTTGGTGGCAAGGATGCAGGAGGGACAACATGGGGAAAGGCAGCAGGGAATGAGCCTCCTGCTCCTCTCGGCTGCCCTGCAGAATGTGAAGGATGATGGGCAGCATGCCTGGAGGCTGAAGCACTTCAAGAAGCCCGCCTACTGCAACTTCTGCCGCACCATGCTGCTGGGCGTCCGCAAGCAGGGCCTCTGCTGCTCCTGTGAGTTGTGTCCCCAGGGCTCCCCAACCCTGCTGGGTGTAGGGGAGCGGGTCACTCACCTCTTCCTTCCTTCCACCAGTCTGCAAATACACCGTGCACGAGAGATGTGTGTCCAAAGATATCGCCTCCTGCATCAGCACCTACGTGAAGTCCAAGAGGAACACCAATGTGAGTAGGAGGGACAGACCAGCCTCTGAAATCCCATAGGAGGCCACGGAGACAGAACAGCTGCCGGGGGTCTGCGGGTGCAGCATCCCTTTTCCTCTTGCAGGTGATGCAGCACACCTGGATTGAGGGCAACTCCCCCGTCAAGTGCGACCGATGCCACAAGAGCATCAAGTGCTACCAGGGCATCACCGGTCTGCACTGCGTCTGGTGCCAAGTCACCGTGAGTGGGAACGGTCGGGGGACCAGAGGGGGTTGTCATCTTGGTGTGACCCCGCTGACGTCCTCCTCCTCCTTCAGCTCCACAACAAATGTGCCTCCCACGTCAAGCCGGAGTGCGATGGGGGCCCTCTGCGGGACCACATCTTGCTTCCTTCCTACATCTGCCCAGTGGTTCTGGTGCGTGGCCACCCTGTCCCCACACCCCTCAGTCCCCGCCCTGTCCCCACGCCCCCTGGTCGCTGCCCCATTCCCACAGCTCCCCCACCCGCCCTCGCTGTGTCCCGCAGGAGCGGCAATCCCACTGCCGCAGGTCCGACAGCGAGTCTCCGGCCGGCACCAGCCCCGAGGATGGGCAGAGCTTCAAGTTCAACTCCACCACAGTGGATGGGCAAGGGCTGCAGGTAGGATCTCCCCCCCCCAGGCTGCGGTCGGCCGTGCTGTGCTGGGTATTTCAGCCTTCACCCTTTCTGCCTTCCAGATCAGCCCCCGGCCTGGGACGCATCCCCTGCTGGTGTTTGTGAACCCCAAGAGTGGAGGGAGGCAAGGAGAGCGGTAGGTTGTACCCCTGCCTGCTGACAGCATCCCTCTGTGGCCCCACCGCCATCAGCTCGTTGGGATGCCCCAGCCACCAGTCAGCATCCCCTGTGGCATCTCTCACTTCTTTTCTTTTCCTGTAGGGTCCTCCGAAAGTTTCACTACCTGCTCAACCCGCGGCAAGTGTACAACCTGGACCGTGGTGGACCTGCTCCTGGGTACGGAGGTGCTGCGGACACCCGCCGGCCCCCACAGCCCATCCTCATGCCCGTCCATCTCCTACATAAATCATTTTCCTCTCTCTGCCCTGTCCAGGCTGAGCTTTTTCCGGGACACTCCAGATTTCCGTGTTCTGGCCTGTGGAGGGGATGGCACCGTGGGCTGGATCCTGGACTGCATAGGTGAGCAGGCTCTGTGGCCCCTGAGTACACAAAACCACTGGGCAGAGGAAGCACATCAAGAGGAGCATGAAACAAACCTAGCCAGGGCGCAATCCATCCATCACAGCCCCAACCCTTCTTTTCCCTTGTGTTGCAGACAAGGCAAACTTGCTGAAGCACCCACCAGTGGCCGTCCTGCCCCTGGGAACAGGCAATGACTTGGCCCGGTGTCTGCGCTGGGGCGGAGGTGAGATCAGGCGAGCATCGCTCTGCTGGGATGCAGCCCATGGGGACCATGAGTGACTGTGGGGTGCTGTCCTGGGGCTGGGAGGCACATAGCTGGGGCAAGGGCAAGTGATGTGCCGTGTGAGCAGCCCCCAGCTGCATGCTGTTCCGCTGGCATGAATGCACTCCCCTTCATCCTCCTCCAATGTGCAGGCTATGAGGGTGGCAGCCTGATGAAGGTGCTGAAAGACATTGAGCACAGCACGGAGGTGATGCTGGACCGCTGGCAGATAGACGTGATTCCCAGTGACAAGGAGGCCAACGGGGACCCTGTCCCATACAGCATCATCAACAACTACTTCTCCATCGGGGTGGTGAGTAGTGGGGCCCTTCAGCACCAGGGAATGGGGAGGGACGTGGTAGCCAAGCTGAGCAAGGAGTAGCAGAACCCATCGGAGCTTCCCTGTGCAGCTGTTGCCCCAAACCTGCAGATCAGGGCCTTTGGGGTGATTCCTCTGCCATGTGAAATAAATGTTCCTCAGCTGCCAGGAAGTCAGGGAGTGGAGCAGATGGGGATGGCTCCCATGCTTTGTGATTCTATCTCCTCTCCTCCTGTACTCATTTGAGCCCTCTCTGGGGGGTGAGCCTCATAGGAGCATGAACGGCTGGCTTGTGTCATTCCACAGAGACAATAAAAGCCTTTCTCAGAATTTGGTGAAACTCTCCATTTGAGCTTGGGTCCCCCACCCTGCATCTCCCCCTCCCTGCTCTTCCTTGCTTGTGTTCCCAACCTCCCTCTTGGCAATTGTCTTTCTGTTTTTATTGTTGTCTGAAATAGCAGCGCTTGAATGCAAAAATATTCACAAAATGTCTCTCTTCCAAGCTGAGGGTGCTGCAAGAGCCAGAGAAGCTCTGACAGAGTTCAGGGAGGCTTGGGGTCCCAGGGGTGGATCACAGTCTGATGGAAGCTATGTGGGAGCCCCATGCTATGGGGCCAACAATGAGGATGAAGGGCTGAGCCCCTATGTCCCAATGCACACGCAGGGAGGGGGATTCTGTTTCTCAGCCCTTTCCAACCTGCTCCACCTCTCCTTGCAGGATGCCTCCATTGCCCACCGCTTCCACATCATGCGAGAAAAGCACCCTGAGAAATTTAACAGCAGGTAAGGGCTGTCCAGCTGCTGTGCCACATCTGCAGGGCCATTCAGTGCCCCCAGGAGCCACTGTCCCCAAGCCCCTGCATGCTCATGCCTGTTGCTGGCCCTGCACATTTCACTCCTCGCTGGGTGCTCCTGGTGCACCTGGTGCCAGCATCCATCCTTTGACATGCCTCCATGGGGGAGGCAGGGGAGCCTCGTGTCCCCAGAGGGAACCTTGTGGGGTGGGCCAGGGGAGTTGCTGCTCACATGTGGGCTGCTAACACCACTCCCTGTGCCCCAGGATGAAAAACAAGCTGTGGTACTTCGAGTTTGGCACATCGGAAACCTTTGCGGCCACCTGTAAGAAGCTCCATGACTACGTTGAGGTGGAGGTGGGTTTCCAAGAAGTGAAGGTGGGGATTTGGGGAAGGCTTTATCAGGATATCAGAATCATAGAATCAAGGTTGGAAAAGACCACTAAGATCATCTAGTCCAACTCCAGCCCACCATGCCCACTGCCCACATCCCTCGGTGCCACATCACCACAGCTCTGAACACCTCCAGGGACGGTGACCCCCACCTCCCTCTGCAGTGCCTCACTGCTCTGTCTGAGAAGAAATGTCTCCTGATACCCAAACAGACCATGCCTCTGGATAGAGCTGTGGTGCCCTGGGGCAGCAGGGAGGTGAGGAATGCTGCTGGGTGCCTATCTAGGGGACAGGTGTGTGCAGCGCCCAGACCTCTGCAGCCCACAGAGCTGGAGCGATGACAATATTCAATTTTTGATAAATAACCAAATCTGATTCTTTCATAATCAATTATTTACTAACTCAAGAACTAATTACTGCTCGATAACCAATGAGCAGGAGCGAGAGCTTGCGTCTCCCCAGCCAAATCATCCCACAGCCCTCCCCATGGCCAGCCCACTCTGCCGGTGTGCTGAGGGACATGTGCCCACGCTGGCAAAGTGGGGAGGCTCAGGGGGGGTCCGGGCACACCGGGGCAATGCTGGGTGAGGGGCTCTCCAAGCCCAGCCTGCACCTCCAGCGCGGGGCTCGCCGCATGGCCGGCCAGCTGCAGGCAAAAGAATAGCCCTGTATTTTTTCCCCTTCCAGCTGTATTTGAGAGTGTGCCTGGAATATTCTCTCTGTAAACTCAGTGTCTGCTCGCAGCCGTCTTTGGATTACATGGAAACAGCCTTTAATTAGAGCAGGGAGGAGGGACCGCTGCGTGCCAGCGGTTGCTAAGAGCTCTGTCATTTTGCAGTTTGCATTGGTGGGGTTTGTGCCGTGCTTTTCTGCAAACTTCCGGCTCTCCTTATCTTGGGATAAATGCCCCTTTTAGAACTTATTCTGGAGGGCTACGAAAGAAAAACCCACGTTGTTGGCGTGCGCTGGGCCACACAACCCCAACCCCACCCCAGTGCTGGGGCACTGTGGTGTTGGAGCCCATTTACATGCCAGAGTTCTCTGCCCATCCTAAAGCTCGGCCCCCCGTGCTGTCAGGAAAGCGTTAAAGCGACGGCATTTTAAGCTGAAAGTAGCAGCCCTCCGGCTCCGAGGCAACTGTCATCCTCACAGAGAAATGGCAGTTTTGTTTTGGAAATTGGCACTCGTTCCAGTGCAGCTCCTGGAAATGAATTTGCTTTTCCCCCAGCTGCAAATTTCTCCTCCCAGCGCCGCTGCCAGCACACCACCAGCTGCCCCCGCTCAAAGAGCCCTTTGTGGCAGGCTGGCATATGGAGTGGGGCTGCAGGGCTGCAGGGCTGCAAGGCTGCGGGGAGAGAGGCTGCTCCTGGTCCGGGGGTCCCACAGCACATGGTGATGCTGAGGTCCCATCCCATCCCATTGAGGGTTGGATGATTGGTGCGTTGGCCACAGCACGGCCAGGAGCTGCGGGTACCTTGCTGTGCACCCACTGCTCACAGCAGTAGGGTTTGCATCGTTCACAGCACTCATCATGTTATTAAAATGCATCGAGAAATAAGAGATGGAAGCCCAGTCCCGGTGAGGCGGCTCTTTGCCTGCAGACCAGAAGCCTTTTGCATTTCAAGGCAGGGCCAAACCGTCTCTGAGCAGGGAGAGGGCACAGAGCTCTGAGCCTACAGAAATGCCCACTTGCTCCCATCCAGCCCATACCCCATACCAAAAGCCCTCCACTCCAGCTCCAGCAAAACAACTAGAGTGTGGGCAGCAGCAGGGTTCTATCAGCCAACTCACATTTCCTCCTGGCAAAGAGACACAGGAGACAGAAATTCCTTCGCATCCCCAAAATGCAAGAAGAAAAGTGCTCTGGTGTTTGCTGAAGTGTAGGCTGGCAGGTAGGGAACAGATGCCTGGGGAGAAATGCAGATGCTCAAAGGGAAATACAGATGCTCTAGAGAAAATGGAGTTGAAAGCGAGAGACGGATGCTGCCCACAGCAATCCTGACTTCAGAGGGATCCAGACAGAGGAGCCCTTGTTTCTTCAAACCCAAGACTCCGTCTTTTCTGGTGGAACTGCATGGCAGCACCCACAGATGAGGTCAATGCCACGTCCTGGGTGCCCTGGCTGTAAGAGCTGAGATTAAGGGATGCAATTCCATCTTTGTGTCCTTTTGGACAGCCACCAACAGCAGCTGTTTGGCTTTTCATGGAATTTTCAAAGCCATCAGTCCCGCCGTCTGCTGGTGAATCCAGAGCACCCATCCTGGGCACTGTCCTGTTACTCTCTCCCAAAAGCTGCCATCTTTTTCTCTATAGCCTTTAAGGCACTGGCAGAGCTGCACAGGGAGGTGAGGCAGTCACTGGAGGTGTTCAGAGCTGTGGAGATGTGGCACTGAGGGACACAGTCAGTGGACATGGTGGGGTGGGCCAGGGCTGGAGCTGGGGATCTTAGAGGTCTTTTCCAACTGTAGTGAGCCTATGATCCCATAATTCTATAATGATTTATTCCTGGTTTCCAACAAGCACTTTAAGACAAGCCCTTTTACATCAGCCTTTGTGTAGCCAGACTGCAATTTGCTGAGGTCAGCTTAAGCAAGGGGACGAGGAAGGCTGGTGCTGCAGGAGCCCATGGCACAAAGGGGTCCAGCTGGGGCAGGCTGTCGGGTCCTGATGTACATCTGTGTGCCTGGCAGTGTGATGGGACCCTGCTGGACCTGAGCAACGCTTCCTTGGAGGGCATCGCCGTCCTCAACATCCCCAGCATGTATGGTGGCTCCAACCTTTGGGGCGAGACCAAGAAGCAGCGTGGCTACAACCGCCTGAGCAAGAAAGCACCGGAGAAACCGCACGCAGCGGTGGTGACCGACGCCAAGGAGCTCAAGTTCTGTGCACAGGGTGAGTGGTGGGGAGGACGGTGATTAGGAGGGGTTGGCAGCAGAGCTGCAGCGCTGGCACTGGGGGCTTTTTTAAGCTTCTCCTGCTGCGGTGCCGTCAGCATGGCTGCCTTTTTGTGGGAATGCAGCGATGTGTGCGAGCTGCAGGCAGCCGAGGGAAAAACCCCAGCATCTCTCCTCCGGTGTGCCGTGCTCCTGGCACCTCTGCCCAGCACTGTGCCCCTGGTGCCCCTGGTGCCTGACTCATTTCTGCCAGCACGGGCACAAGCAGGGGCAGAGGCGAGGGATTGTGCAGGCAGCCCAGCTTGCCCCCGGGAGAGCAGCTGTAGGAGTTACTCAGCAGGGAGAAATCAACTGGGAAGCAATGTGCTGCTCCTGGCAGCCGGTGAGATGTGCCAAGTGCCCACTTTTTCCAGAGTCCATGGTGGGAAGCTGCTCCCAGTGAAGCTCATGCTGTTTTTTCCCCTGGTGCACACACCCCATCCAAGGGCTGGAGGGAGATCTGTGCTGGGATCTGGTGCTGTTTGGCACCAGGGGGATTTTTGCTCTTGCAGTTTTGTGGGAGCAGCCACACCAAGCTTGTCAGGATGCCTGAGGATAGCAGAAGGCACAGGGTCCCTGGACAGCCTGCATCACTGCTGCAGCTCTTCCACTTTGTTCCCTGCCTGCCTGGCCCAAAGAAGGAACCTTGAACCCATGGGAGAGGGGCGGATCATGCAAAGGGGGGCTAACTTTTACGTATGAGAGCGCTCAGGCTGCGCATGAATGAAACCCAGACAGGTTCAGGCTGGAGAGTTCAAGCTCGACTGATTTCCTGGAGCGAAGGCATCCTGCCAAAAGCGGGGACAAAACGGGAGCTTTGCACCACAGGAGCTGCCCATGGAGTTTTGCTGCTGTATGCAGACGGCTGGCCGTGCCCACCTGCAGCCAGCTCCTCGACTCTGGGGGACTTTTGACACCCGGCTCAATATTAAATCATTTTGAAAAAAGGAGCACATAGAGGCTGGCAAAGTCCGAGTCCCCCATTCCAAAAAGGAATGCACAGGATTCCCTCGAGACATGGGGACGTGGGACCTTGGCACTGACTCAGCTCCATTTCTTGCAGACCTCAGTGACCACCTGCTGGAGGTGGTGGGGCTGGAGGGCGCAATGGAGATGGGGCAGATCTACACGGGGCTGAAGAGCGCTGGGAAGAGGCTGGCCCAGTGTTCAGCTGTCACCATCAGGTATCTGTGCCCATCCCCGCACAGGGCATGCCCTGATGGGCAGCGAAAGCGGGCGGCTGTGTGATCCCCTATTCCCTCTTGCAGGACCTCCAAGCTGCTGCCCATGCAGGTGGATGGGGAGCCCTGGATGCAGCCATCCTGCACTGTAAGCTCCTGGGGGGACGAGGATGGAGTGGGAGCCGCTGAGGCGGGGGTGCTCAGTGCCTGGCCAGAGCATGACTCACAGCTGGGAGCCGCTCGCTGAGCTGCATTTGTTTATTTTTAGGTCAAAATTACACATAAAAGCCAAGTGCCAATGCTGCTGGGCCCTCCCCAGAAGAGCAGCTTCTTTTTCCTGAAGAGGAGAAACCGAACTCGAGATTAAGCCGAGTGAAAAGAGCCGCAGCCCAGAGGCAACCAGACACCCTGGGCATCCTGTGGGCTGCAAACCTTCATCTCTGCACATCCTGACTCTTCTCCCTGCTTCACAAACACTGCGCTGGAAAGTGGGTGCAGGCTGTGCAGGGCAGGTCCTGCTGCAGGACCCGTGCTGAGGTGGGGAAGGATTCCAACCCAGCCCACTCAGCCCAGCGGGATGCTCTGTCTCAGGAACATTTGGGATCTCCTTCCCAGCTACCACAAGTATTTTCTCCAGCCAGGATCGGAGCAATGGGCAAAGGCAGCTTGGCGTGCAGGCGTGCTAGAACTGGTTTTTTTTTTTTTTCCCTTTATTTAAAGAACTACCCCCTTCCTGCCAGCAGAGCTGCAAACGAATGCATTCCTGAGAAAAGCCGAGCTTCACTTATTTATTTTTAATCCTCCTGAAGGACACTTGGTGTTTTGCTGCACTGGCTTTCTTGTCCACCAGACCTGCACATCTGAGAAGTTATTTATTTCCTTAGCCTTGAGGACTCGGCTGCCCAACCCTCGCTTCCCTTGCTGCTCTCCAAGCAGGTTTCCATGCCTTCAGTTGGCTCTCCTGACTTGCTTCAGAGCAGATGCAGACACAGCACTCGCTGTCGGCTCTGAAGCACGGTGCCACAGGGTGTGAAGCAGGCTGTGTGGGGACACAGCTCACCTGGGATACGGAGCTGGGCTCAGGGCAGGCAGGAGAAGGCATCACTGGGAAGAGGGAACAGCCAGCTCTGTGTTTGGACCTCGCATCTGGATTTGTATTTATGTATTTATTGAACAAACTTCAAGGGGTCACTTCCTTCGTAATGGGATGAGGTTGGACACAAATGCCACCCCCATTTTGGCTGGCCATCCTTGTGGCAGTGCGCCTGGTGCGGGCTGCAACCCCCAGCAACTCCATCCTCGCTCCGTGCAGCTGCTGGGAGAGCGATGCAGCATTTCCCATCACCTAAAAGCTCCTCCAGCTTGGAAGCATCACCTTTTCATTCATCCCAGTGAGGACTCACTCTGCTTCAGATGCTGTTGGGTTGCCACAGGGAGCAATATGAGCAGCCGGCCCTTCAGTTTGTTGCAGCCAGGTCTCTCCCTGACCCATCCCAAAGCCAAGGATGTGGCTTTGAAGCCCAGCTCCTCCCCCAGAAAACAGAGAAATGCATGACATGCCATGAGCAGAACGCATCCCCTGCTCCAAATAGCTGGGATCTGCCAGCAGTGAGCCCCAGAAAGGTTTGCTGATTTCTTCTGCCACCACACACTGCCCCCTATCCTCTCATGGCCCTGCACAGAGGACCACGGCTCCAAAGCCAGCCTCCTCCCCCTCCATCAGCCCCCTCGGGATGCTCTGTGCTGCTGAGAGCAGCATTCCCCCAAGTGCAGAGCTGCTGCCGTCATTAGGTTTCAGAGTTAACAGCACGCTGAAAAGTGTTTGTCACCCCCTCAGGCACAGACACTGTAGGCAGCACCGTTCAAGTGCAGCGACCTGCGCACTCCCTGCGGCACATAAATCCACCCTCCTCTGCTCCTCGCCGGGGGCAGCCATTAATGAGTAGCCAGGTGAAAGCTTATGGGACGGGTGCCAAAATAAACCCTGAAGTTCTCCTGAAACGGCAGCCTCCATTTCTCCCAGTCCCCTCCCTGATGTTATCTGCAGACCTCAACACTGGCACCTGGGGAGGATTAAAATGAAACAAAACAACAACCTCAAAGCCTGCACCGCTCTGCTTGGGGCGCAGGATGACAAGACACGAGGGCAGGGACATTCATAGAGGCAGGTTTGGCTTCCTTTCACTCCCCATTTAGTCTCAACCTGCTGTTTTGTGCTGTGACCATGGCAGAAGGTGTCTGTATGCAAGCAGCAGCATTTTTCTCCGCAGACTGATCCTTGCACCTGGTCACGGTTTGGTGGGCTCATGCTTTGGGCAAAGATCAGTGCCAGGGCCGTTCTGCTTGGCTTTAGCAATAGTGATGGCAGAGCAGGGGGGCACAGGTGGTTCGGGCTGCCAGGGCTGCTGCCTCTTCTGTGGGATGCAGCGTGGATCATGCCAGAGGCATCGCACAACAGGACCTGCAGCTGGCAGCCACCTTAGCCCCAGGCTCTACCCTGGGGGGCTCACAGGGTGATAGCTGCCTGGCTCAGCCGGTGCCTTTCACACCAGCCCCCATTTATACCCCGAAAGGCCATAGGTTGGAGCTCCCAGCCTCCCCAGGGCAGGCTCTGTTCCCATCCTCCTGCTATGTCCGTAGCCATGGTTGCCTGCATGGAAATAGTGTGGCGTCCGTAGCGTAGCGTGTGTTGCCGTGTACACCCGGCCTGCTGTGGGCTTGTGTCAAATAAAGGTGGTGATGAAGCACTCAGCTGGTCCTGAGCATGGGGGTCCCCATTTCCCAGCCATTTTGGGGACACAGTGAGATGTGCCCCTCTTTGAGCACACAGGTGACGGCGTTTTCAGCTGCAGCAAGATGGAGCCATGTTCGGCGGGAGGCGCAACAGGCTAAATTTGGAGCCTGCGATTTGTTGGTTGTTTTTCTCTTCCCCAAGTAGGCTCTAAATTTAGCAGGTGCCGGTCACCAGCCCCCTCCCAACCCTGTGTGTCCATGGCCGCTGGCTCATCCCAAGGCACCATAAGGAGACCCCATGAAAGCCAGCCTGTAGCTTGGCTGGGGTCTGGCCGATTGCCCCCAAAGGCAAAGGCAAGGCAGGGAGAGCCCCTACACCTCTCCTCTTCATCTGCAGCAGCCATCGGGTCTGACATGGGCTGTTTGTGTACCACTGCTGCTGACACCCCACAGCCCCCTGTCCACCTGCCCAACCGTGTGTCATCTGCTAATTTTACTAGCAGTGATTTAATCCTCTTCACCCATGTGCAAAGGGAAACATGAGAGTGCCAGCTCCTGCAGAGCCCCCCAGGAGCGTCCCCAATGGCAAGGACACCCTGTGCCCATCCCATGTATCCCAGCAGCTTGTGAATGAGGTGTGATGGCAGCTGTCCTGCTGTGCAACATGGGAGCCAAACTGCTCACAGAGACCAGCGTCAGCCCTGGGGATGCTGAGAGCCCTGCAGCACTCTGCACCGGTACAACACCTCCTGAAAAATTAGTAGCACACCTCTGTAAGGCCACCTGCAAGCCTATGGCCCCCAGATTGCAAGTCTCCAGGCACCCTCCATGGGTCCCAAGCCGTGCAGAACAGTACTTGCTGAGCACTCTCTTTTAATCTGCTCCATCAGGGATTTCCCAGGCCCTACAACGCTATGGGGTTTAGGGATCCTGAACCACGGGAGCAGAGTGCCATACTCGCTGCTTACTTTTATAAACAGGGAAACTGCAGCAGGGCCATGCCAGGTGCTGGGAAGTTTGTGTCCCTGTGGCTATGTCCTGAGCTAATTCCCGGTCCTCTGAGCCATCTGCAATCCTATATGGGCTATGCTGCAGGTCCGGCTGGGGGACCCTGAGGGTCTGTCCGGGGGTATGATTCCAGCCCACCTGCAAGCCTCCTCCTCTTCCATGTGCCCCTGTTCCATCCCCTCACACTTCTACTCTGCCTTTCGGCCCCGGGCATCACCATCCCCCCACGGCCACTTGGGAAACCCGCAGCAACCCCTTCCCACCACTTAAATTCCTATGCAGATGGAAATCTCTTCCCACAGCCCCCTCTAAAGAGCCCTTTAAGGGCTGCGAGGCGCGCAGGGGTCAAACAACACAGCGGCCGCTTGGGCTGGCTCAACTCGGGGTCCCGAAGGGGAAGGAGCCCAAAGAAAGACCCCACCAATACCACCCATGCGCACCGCAGCTGTAAGAAGCCCGAAGGCCCCCCTCACCCGCCGGCCTGGCTCTGCAGCGTGAGCTCTGCAGGACGCTGTACGTTCCTCACGAAGCTCCCAGGCTGACCCGGCACCCCCCTCCCCCCCCCTTAGTTGCCCTTGAGCCTCCTACCCAACCCCCTCCTGCGGAGGGCCGCGGCCCCTTTAAATCCTGCGCTGCCCCCGCCCCACCCGCCGGCCTCTTCCCCTTCTATTTTTTTATGAATGAAAAACGCTCTCGGCGGAGCCATGCAAATCGCTCGGCGCCCATTGGCTGCCTTCCCCCCTCCCACCCCGCCGTTCTCAATGGTGCCCCGCGGAGCGGCGCGGGGGGGCGGGCCCTCGGGCGGCGCCTCGACCAATCGGCAGGCGCTGGCGGCAGGCTGCCGGCTCCCCATTGGGCGGCGCCGAGGGTAAACAAGCGGCGCTGGGCGTGGCGTGGCGGGGGCTGCTGGCTCGGGAGCTGCGGGCCGGCGCAGAGCGGCAGCGCGGTGCCCGGCTCGGAGCTGCGCCGTCCCGGCACGCCCGGCCCCGCTCCCGGCCTGCAGCGGGTGAGCCCGCGGTGCTCCGCCGTCCGCGCGGGGCCTGGCGGCTCGATGCGGCTCGGTGTGGCGGGCCCGGGGCGGGGGCGGCGCTTATGAATGGCGCGGGCCGCGCGGTGTGAATGGCGGGGGGCGCGCGCGAGCGAGGGCGCGCGCGCGGGAGGGGGAGGGAGTGAATGAGGAGGAGGAGGGGGGGAGGAGTTTATGAATGGGGCGCGCGGGGCGGCGTGGGAACGGGCCCGGCTGCGGCCCCGCGGCGCTGAGCAGCGGCACGGACGGAGGGGAGCGGGAGAGCGGCGCGGAGCGGGGACGGGGCCGCTTTCCCCCCCCGCGTGATGTCACGGCTGTTTCTATAGAAATTCGGTGACATCACGGCCCGGGGGGCCGCGACCCGCTGCGGGTCCCACGCCGGCACCCAGCCAGCCCCGAAGGGACCCGATCCCGATTCTGATCCTGCCGCTGCCTCTGCCCCCCGCAGCCTCGCACCTGCCGGAGCCCAGGCGGGAGCCCCCTTCCCGGGCCGCCGTCGATGCTGAGCGTGCCGGGGGCACTGCCCGCCTCCCTGCACCATGGATGGCTTCTACGACCAGCAGGTCCCCTTCATGGGCCCTGGGGTAAGTCTGTCCAAAGGTCCTCCGGGTCCCTTGAAACACCTGCTTGTGATCGTTTGGGGACACCTTCCCTTGGAATGCTTCCCATTGGGTCCCTTTGGGGTGCCCCTCCCTTTTGTCCCCATTGTGGACACCCCCTTTGGGGCAGGCACTTTCTGTTAGTCCACTTTGGGGCACGCCTCACCCCCCTCTAAGGCACTTTCTTGGGCTCCCCCATCTTTTTGGGGCTACCTCTCTCACACCATGGCTGTTTCAGAAATCCTGTGCCGAGGAGGGCCGAGGCCGGTTGGGCTCCGAGAGGAAAAGGAAGTTTTTGGAGACCGACCTGGCCCACGACTCGGAAGGTAGGCAGCACTGCAGGCCCCTGTGGGTCCGCTCCCCTTGGGATAAGCCTGCAAACAGCAGCACGTTTGGTCAGTGTTCTGTGGGTGCATAAACCTCTTGCTGTATTCCAGAGCTCTTCCAGGATCTCAGCCAGCTGCAGGAGGCCTGGCTAGCTGAAGGCAAGTCCTCATCTCTGCTTTTTGCCATGTAAAATCTCATCATGTGCATTTTTTTGAGAGCTGAAAATGCTATAAAAATGCTCTTTTTTTTTTTTTTTTTTTTTTTCTTCAGCTCAGGTCCCTGACGATGAACAATTTGTCCCAGATTTCCAGTCTGACAACTGTAAGTAACCGTCCCGGCATTTGCTCTGTGGGGTGGAAGTGTTTGGGGCCCTCTGTGCAACAGTGTAGGACCCCTTCCCTGGGAAGGAGACCAGCACCAAACCCCCTGAGGCCTCGAGACCCTTGGGCTTTGGAGAGGGAGCACATGTGGGTCTGTGCAGCTGGGGCTCAGTGTCCCGTGTCTCATAAATGGGTAAATCTGGGCCAAACGCAGGGAAGGGTCTCTGCCTGAGCTCTGGGCTCCCCTTCGTAGTAGCGTCAATTTGCTCCAAAATGCTGCTTTTCCTTTTGAAGTGGAAGTGAGAGCTCGTGCTGGGCTTGTCGGTTAGCCACAATCTCTGCACTCCTGCAGCTTTTTCCAGTCCTGGCCTCGTGCTGCTGGCGAGAGCCGACCCGAGCGGTGAAACTTGAGCTGCTTTAAGCAGCATTAATCGCTGGCAAGTGAGCGTGTTTAAAAGGAGGCCAGTGAAAATGCAGTCCCTCTTGAATTGCATAATAGAGAGAGAGTTGTTTCTTAGCCGTGGTTCACTGCCCGAGCCAGGGGCTGCCGCACAGCTAATGGTGCGCCGTGCGTGTGCGGAGAGCCCTGGCATTAATTCTCAGGTGGGGTTGGGGGCTTTGAGTTGTTACCTGGAGAACACGAGGAGCAGCCCGGTGCTGGGTTGCAGCTCAGGCAGACAGCTAGAGAACTTGAAGGAAATCAAATTTAGCCTGCAGTCGAACAGATTTTTCATTCCAGCTTTGTCACAGCATGCATCAGAGTATCTTATACTACAGTAAATGCATGTTAATTATTGCTCTTTGATTACTTCTGAATGGGAAGCTTGCCATTAAACTGTTCCAGACAGCCTGGGCTTCAGATGCGCCTTTTTTCCCCCTTTCTCCCCCGAGATAAAAGGCAGAGCCCCGAGGCAGAGCCGCAGCCGCTGCTGCCATCCGCGCTCAGCCCAGCAGCTCCCGCTTGGAGCGGCGCAAACTGCAGCGTGCGTGGGAGGCTGGCTGCGGAGCAGAGCTGCTTCCAGAGCCTTTTGGCAGCCGCCGGCTTCCTTGTAACCTGAACGGCTCAGGGAGAAGAGAGACAAACTTCTCTGGGTGATGCAGGGGGGAAAAAGCATTTGGTCGAGGCTTGCAGTGAGCTCCTGCCTCGCTCAGCCTGTGCGGCCCGGTGTCACTGGGGTCAAAACAATTTTGTCACCTGAAGGGTGATGTCCCTGCGTGACTTCCTGCCGTAATAACCTTCCTGGGGAGATGAAGCAAAGATCTCCTCGCTGGCTGGGGTGTTTGACCCCAGAGTCCCCGGTGTTGGCAGCTGCTGTGTGGGCATGATGGGATGGGTGGCACCCAGCTCGATCCCAATGCCCCCCGTGCACTGTGCTGAGTGTCGGTGACACCCATCCTTCCCACCTTGCTGAAAGCCCTGGTGGTGTGCGTGCTGCCTGCAGAACGGCTGATAAAACTCTCGTGGGTCACGATGTCATGGCAGAAGTTGGGTTTGGCAGCACGCAGACAGGTGTTGGCCAACACATGGCACGTGTCTCCTGTCCTCCTGCCTGGCCCTGGGGAGGAGGGCATGTGCCCAGCACCTTATCTGGGGCAGTTGTTTACATAGGCGCAGGGCGATAGGACTGTGCTGGGGACAGCGAGTGCTGGGGGTGGGAAGGTGTAGGGTCCCTTCTTTTTGGTAGGGAGGAGTGTTGTTCCCTGGGGATTCGTGTCCCCCCGCACGGATGGTTTGCAGTGAAGCAGGCTTTTTTCTTTTTTTTTTTTGCTTTTTTTTTTTTTTTTTTTT